GGTTGGAAATGGTCTGTGAGACCCGCATGGCGATTTCTGTAAGTAAGGCGATGAGCAGGGCGCCATACTTTTGCTCGTCAGTCGTTTTGTGAGCCGACGAGCTGCTTCCCCACATGATCTAGCCAGTCCTCGATGCTGTGGTTGGAAAGTCGGTAGAGAGATCCGTCCGTCCTCCATCCTGTCTGGAGTGCTTTTTTCCGGGGTCAAATTTATTTGTGGGTTTCCCGTGATATAATGTTGCTCCAGCACTCAGGAAGGATGAATGGAAACTCTAAGGTGGTGGTTTTCTTATATAATATAAGTTATATGGTGGCAGTCTGGTGCTGGAGCTGCCGTGGTGGTGAGGAGCTGCTCAGATTACTGTTCGTGAGTAGCGTACAGTGATAGATGGACAGGAGCTTCACAGAGAAGCTGCTCATTGCTGGCCCCTGCTGAATGAGAGCTGACAGCGAAGAACTTGCTTTGGAGGAGGTGTTATGGTTCAGGAACCGAGAGCAGAAATGAATCTCAATGGAGAGACAGAGCTATATGAGCTGCCGGAAGTAAACCGTGGGAAGTCGCCGGCTCGACCCGTTAGATATGCGCAGTAGCCAGACTGGTTGCTAGATACTGTGGCCTGAGGCCCCACCCCCCTGGGCTGCTCTGTTTGGTTGCTAGGGAAGACGAGCAGGTGGCTGGTTGTTAGGATACTGTGGCATTGAATGCGGCTATGCAGTTGTAGTGGTGACGTCCACTGCAGCATCCTTACCATTACCATGTGTTAACCTGTGTTCTTTTCAGCTAGACGCACCACCTGCATCATCACTCGACGTCATAATCTTCCGAATATCTCGTCGGCAGTCACCCCAGGATCCCCTGATTACCCATAATGTCTTCGTTGGTGGTCTCGAGAAGGCTGCAGCTGTACACTTTGTGCAGCTTCTTCTGTGCGTCCACTGCCACTGCAACAGACTGAACCTCACTCAGTCACAGGTTGATTCCGCTTCCCACCTGGGATACCTTGTAAACACATGCCGCCATGTATGACGAATAATTGCTACAGACAGCTGCCCCCATGCCTCCACCAGAAATCAACAGCTTTTGGACGCGAATTCCTTCCAAACCGTTTGACGCGAACTTCTGTTCGGCCAACTCTTTCTTCTCACGCCTCCTCGCCATTTGTGTCACCCAGGTTACGAACCTCATCCTGGTGCTGGTACAGTCGTTCGAGCTAACTTTTTGCAGAGAATGCAGCCTTAACGGTACAAATTACTCTGGTCCATGGCTGGATTAAACACGAGTGTTGGGAGTGAAGGAAGACCACTTTACGTTGGGGTGACGATCCAATAGTAGGGCGAGTGTCGTAGGTAAGGCAGTTGTCAAGGAGCAACAAATGTTGAATGGAAAACATTCGGTTGCTCGCAGAATTTCTTCACGTCAGGAACGAAACAGCCATCAAAACCAGGAGAGGAACAGACCAGTGAACATCCAGGCCCATGCAGCGGTTATTAGCCAGTGATTGAACAGCCATGTCCATGTTCTTGTAGGCGTGCTTGCGGGCTGTGTGGATCACGACAACTTGATCTTACACGCACCGGAGGCATTGGTGGGAAAAACAGGACGGTGATGGCTCTTCTGCAACTTCCTGCCCCGACACTTTGCTGGCAGATTCTGACAATGAAGGTCTTGGTAGGTAGCTTTTTTCCAAAACAGACCGGGATTCATCCATGTTGTTCAACACCTGGTCGCAGTGGTCGTTGGTGTAATGTCCTCCTCCATAACTTCGTAAGAATGAAGGAAAATCACCACTGCAACACGGGCAGCATCATTTCACCTTCACCAACAATATTACTGCTGGTGGATCTTTTGTTCTCTTCTTAAACCTTGCAGCCACCCAAAGGAGCAGTGAAGGGTTTTGGGCTCTACACCGATTCTGTGTGTGCCACTTGCCACATACAGTTCACGTAAGTGTTCTCTTGAACTGACCGCGTGTCCACTGCCATGTTCCTGCCCAGCCTGATGAATCAAGTAGCTCACCAGCAAATTCTCAGTCTTGAGCAGCACCCTATTTTGACAGTATTTCACCATTGAAGCACCTGCAGAGACTGCATGCCTCATGTGTTTGGAATCTTGGCGGGCCCTTCTGATCCTGACTAGATTCATCTTGGCTGCCATGCTGGCGCAAATCAACTTGTATATATATATATATATATATATATATATATATATATATATATATATATATATATATATTGTAAGTACAGGCGGTGCTAGGGAGTTGTTGTGTGGTGAGGGAGTTTATGAGAGGTGTGTTGCAGGTCTGTAGGTTGTTGAAGCTACTGCAAGGCTGGGAGCCTTTATAGGAGGTCTGCCGGAAGTAACGTCGTTGATAGTCGGTCCCGCCTGGTCAGATCTTTGGCTTTGCTGGAAAATCGGCAGATTCATTTAAACAGCACAAACGGCAGTGGCAGTGCTGTAGAAAGTATCCACTTCCAGGCTCCAGTATGGCAGCTCCTTTATCATCTTCACCACTGATCGGCTCGCGGCCGCTTGGGCTCGGCTCGTCTCTGATTACTTTTTTCTTTCTTTTATCCTTCACCTAAAGATCGGCCTGCTAGCCGCCCGGGCGCGATAGGTCACGCCCTGCTCACGCACTCATTGGCAATACTGGGCATGCACCGATCGTGAATGTACCTTAACCTGCTCCATTGCTGGTCAAGTCTTTGTCTTGAAAGAGCTCACACTCGGTGCCGTTGTAATGATCACGATCGGACATGTTAGTTAACGTAAAATCAGACGGAATCGCGGTTACGCTCAATAGCCTATAAAACATTCCTTCTTTAGTGAGTCTCCTCTGAGGCAGGTCTGTTTATCGTTAAGACGCGTGAGTCTGTAGTGGATTTCTCCCCTACAAAACACTGTCGTCGCTGAGTAGCCAACCCCACCAATTTCAGGGCCCTGCGGGTCTAGGTCAACCAGCGCCGCCATATCACGGAGCGGGGGTCAACTACTAAGCTTTCACGCCAACCCCTTTCGCTATTTAAGGACCTGACCTCATGGTGATCTGTCTCTTTTCACCTACACCAACCAGCCAGCAACACACCTCTCCGCTGCTGCCTGGCGGCCCTGCCCTGCCGGCGAGCATGGCGACCCATGTCCTTCTCTGACATCCTCACCAACCAACTCTCTACATCACGCTTATAACCATGCTGTCTTCCCAGCACCAAGCTGCATTGTACATCCAATACAACATGTATACAGAGAGCACATTGTGAGTTTTTTCTCCATTCCATCCTGGGAGTGTGAAAACAAAACAATTCCCCATCCCCACAATGGTTACTCCCGGAGATCTGCACCAATACAGGATGGAGGAGAAACAGATCACGCTCCCAGTCTTCTCAAGCAACATGGAAGACTGGCTTATCCACTCAGAAGCAGCTCACATCGGCTCTACAGCTACTGCTATGTCTCTCTACATCGCAGGTTAGACACTCCCTAGAGCAGCTCTGCTAAGCAGACAGTCGCCTCTGACCCCAGCACACCCATCCTGCCTTCAGACGGCCGACCCACCCAGCAGTAACCCCCTGCCGGCCCCCTGACGCGGCCCCTGTTCCTGAGTGTGACCCACACACCCCTATTCTCCCCAGGTACTACCTGCTATCGTCCTGCACCCGTTGCTGTCAAATCCAGCTGCTGTCACGAGCCCTCATCCGCTTCTTGCTGACGCAGTCCCTGCTCCTGACCCAGGCCCACACACCCCCAACAGGCGCATCTGACGACTCTTGTACCTGCCGTGAGGGAAGAACAAAAAATTCATCGCCTCCCACACACCCATTTTCTCCTCTCTTTTACTCTACACAGATATTGTGTATCTAGACAGTTGTCCCCAGCGACCGGCTCCATCCACGCCACGCTGTTGTCTCACATGAGGCATGCACCGCCCGTTCTGCCCTCACATGTGCTGGTGCAACCCCTGCAGACAACAAGTCTCCCCACACACCGCTTGCAGGGAAGGGGAGTATTGTAATGGATTTCTCCCCTACAAACGCTATTTGTCGCTGAGTAGCCGACCCCACCACTCCACAGTGGCCTCGTGGTCTAGGGTCAACCAGCGCCGCCATGCCATCACGGGAGCGGGATCAACCACTGCCACGCCTACCCCCCCGCTATTTAAGACCTGACCTCGTGGTGATTGCCTTTCTACTTTCTATACACCAACCAGCCAGCAACACCTCCCCTCCTCCTCCGGGCCTGCCTGGCGGTCCTCTGCTCCCGCTGGCGAGCATGGCGACCCACAAGCTGTCCTCCTCTGAGCACCTCACCAACCAGCTCTCTACATCACGATTGTAACTTATGCTTGCCTTCTCAGCACCAAGCTGCATTGTACATCCAATACAACATGTATACAGAGAGCACATTGTGAGTTTCCCTTTCTCCAACTCCATCCTGAGGTGAACCAAACCCCATACCCCACAAGTCCTCTGTTTTCCATTTTTCTGACCTCCTTGAAACCAAACTCTCTACAAAGTAAATCTGCAGGTTTTACAGTCAGGTGAGCAGTGGTGGGCACGGTTCAGCTAATCCGCTAACCGCTAATTAGCGAAGCTAACTTTCTCGTTAGCAGATTAGCGTTTTCGCTAACTTTGGAAACCATTAGCGGACCAATTAGCTACCGCTAAATTTAGTTCCCCTAACTTTAAGTCAGCTAACAAAATATATACATGTTTGTTCCTGTCTGTTGTAAGCGTGTGACGCCGCGACGCTGTCTCCAACAGCCAGTCAGGCACGCTTGGCTGACTGGTGTTAGTACGTGTAAACGTGACAAGACATGACTTTTTTTTTACATTAAATAAAGACGGTCAGTGTATGTGGAGAGAATCATAGAATATAATTATAAACTAATGTATATTTTCATTTCTCATTTATTTGTTAATTTAATTAGGATTTTTTTGTGTCAATATATTTGGTTATGCTAAGTACTGCATAAGTTCATAACCAGGATGTCATCCAAGGTGTGCGCCAAACAAAATTTTCTAAAAACTTACTTTTCATTAAAGTTTAGAGTTTTCTGTTTATTTACATGACTAAGACCAACAATAAATTATTTAAAAAGGCACTGGTATAATGACTAAGACCAACAATAAGTTATATAAAAATGCACTGGTATAATGTGTATGTGGTTGGTATTGCATATTTACATGAATAATGAATAAGGCCGATAGGATGTATGAGAATGCAAATTAATTATTTGTGAAATTGTGTACAGTGTTCTCCTTGATAAGTTGATCGTCATCTGATTTTGGCATGATCCTATTTGCTACCTATGCGATACAGTACTATAGTTTTTGGATTCGTTTAATACTTTCTGTCTTTTCGTACGGTAAATAAAGATGATAAAGTGTATGTTGACACTTGAATGTAAACTAATGTTTAATTTCATTTGTTCATTTAATTATTTGTGTACACCTTGATCATCATCTGATCTTGGCATGCTATACCTTTTTGGAAAGCTCTATGTCTAAGCTACAAGACTACATATGAAAATTTAAGCTCTCTAGGTCTGTTTTTAAGGGTTTTAGAGCCCCCCCACTCCAAATAAAAAACGAAGCTAAATTCACATAATAAAAGTTAGCGGTTAGCGTTAGCTTCCGCTAATTTTTTTTAGCTGTTTAGCGGTTTAACGTTAGCGAAGTTAGCTTTTTAGTTCGCAGATTAGCGGTTAGCAAAGCTAACTTTTCGTTTAGCTGTGCCCACCACTGAATATGAGTACACAGTATGAGGGCCAAGTAACATAATTATGAGAACTTCGCAATCACCTCTTAGGTGAGTAGTACGACAAAATAAGAAAGGTGGGTTTAATCGGCGCTCGTGCGAAACCCTTAAAAACAAACAAACCAAGTGTTTACTTATCTTGATCAATCTTATTGTTTGCTACTGCTGCTTCCTGATAATTGGTACCTCTTGGTATGGACCAGTGCAACAAAGTTTGGCACTAACGACTGAGCTGTAGCAATCTTCAGTATTGAATTAAGTTGAGACCGAAGCCGAGACTTGTTCAAGTTCATCACAGAAAAGAGTTGTTCACAGACATATGTACTTCTGAACATTGACATAATCTTTGAGGCAAAACAATAAGCAGTTGAACTGTCTGTTGTTGAGACCTCGCGCGCGTATGACATTATCCATCTTTAATGTTTTACTACACAACACTTCTTTATGTATAATGCAATGCACATTATAAATTTGATGGTTCGGGTTCACAGCTATTAGTTTTTCCTTTAATTTTGTTGCCACGCCAGCTTTTCTACCCACCATTTGCGGTGCTCCATCTGTAGCTAGACTCACAGACTCACAGTTTGTGCCCAGTCAACACCTAATTTATCTATTGCCCCTACCAAACCCACAAAGATGTCATCACCTGTTGTTGTTCCTTTCATTGGTACCAGTTTCACAAATTCTTCTGTTACCTGCATATTTTCATCCACACCACGTATAAAAGCTGCAAGTTGTGCTACATCATTTACATCGGTACTTTCATCAATTGCAACTGAAAATGCAGTAAAGGACTAAACATTGTCTTTAAGTTAACTGTTAATATTCTCAGATAATTCACTAATTCCATCTGCAACTGTATTTCTTGAGAGACTTATGTTTGCAAATGCTTGACTCGTACAGTGGCACGCTTACAACCACAATTAACCGTTAAAACCATCTCTAGTCTTATTGTTTTTCATTGGTGATGTTGATTGAGTATTTTGTTCTAGGAAACAGCAGACTATTTTATTCAGCTGAGGGATACACTCATTATTTAGTTTTAGCTCCTCAAGGTAAGGCTGGAGCAGCAAATGGGCCGCGGGCCGCATGCAAGAGTGTGTCGGGCCGCATGTTTGACACTCCTGGTATAGAGCTTTGAGAGAGGTGGTCGAGTGGAGAGTGGGGCGGGGGCGCCGGTGGTAGAGCGGTACCGCTCTTGCCTCGCAAGATGTCACGGGTTCGATTTCCTGGCCGTCGAAAAGTTGTGTGGACATTCTTCCTAGCCTCCCTTGGTCCCTGTTCACCTAGCAGTAAGTAGGTACCTGTTGTAAATCGAAAAGTTGCGAATTCGTATTCAGGGAAAGTTGTTGGAGCTTCTAATATTTGTAACTTACACAATCCGGAGGAGTAGTGACCCGAGGATCACACACCCAACACAGACAAAAACCCAATACGTGCGCTGTGCGCTAACCAAATAAATGCAGTCGTGTAAAGCCAGGCTCTATCTCTCCCACTACAATTCCTTTCCTAACCCCCTGCTTCTTCCCCTGTCATCTTCCACGCTCTGACTTTCGCTACCAGCAACTTTTTGGAGCTTCTACTACTACTTGTAGAGTGGAGCCTTGCTACGAATACTTTGACATTTCAAGCTCAAAAACTCAAAACTCTTCCTCCAACTCGCTCAATTCCTCTTTGACATAGCTCAAAGACTTTACCTTCACCTTTCTCCAAACAACTCTACAACTAACTGCATTCCGTTTTCCCCTTCCTTGTCTTTCTTTGAGTGAGTGGTGCCCGTGCCTCCGCCCACATGCGCTTCTCTGCTTGCGCCGCCACCGTGGCTCTAGACGACAACCAAACCACCCACGCTTGGCCCGTTGCCAGCCCGATCCTACTCCCGCCCCCCCCCCTCGACCTCTTCCTGGCGAGGAGTTGCAGCACCACCCACCCATCTGGGCACATTGCCTACCCCCTCACGCAAGTGGTGTTTAAGCCACTGCACCTTTCCTCTCCTTCTAAAACTCACTTAAATCCTCCCTTTATCCTTCCCCTGAACCTCCTTCCTCCCTGTCACTAGCCTGTAAGTTAAGTCAAGTCAAGAGTGGAAGGAACGAGAAAAAGAGGAATAACAAGGCCTACATGGCTCCGAACTATAAGAAGGGAGACAGAGGACCAGTTGAATATAACCATTGAAAGGGCTCAAGATCGAAATAGCTGGCACGAGTATGTGGAGGCCCTTTGCGTCGCACGGCGTTGGAGGCGGTAACGAGATTTCCTGCCCGTACTCAGTGGCGTACTAAGGGGGGGGGGCGGTCCTCCCCGGGTGACAGCCAGAGGGAGGTGCCATGAGGCTCATAAATAAATAAATATCTGTCTTCTGTAGCCTTTTTTTTTTGACAAAATCTAAGTACAACTAAGAGTTATCAGTGCGAAAATTTAGTCATTCAATTTAATTGCCCCTTCATCCATCTCATTTTCAAATAAACAAAGGCAATTTCCTGGAACTGGTGGAGTTACTATCAAACTATGATCCTGTTTTGAAAGAACATCTTTTGGAGGTTAAGCATGCTATTCCATCTCAGACATCTGGAAGGAGAGTGAGCTCTTATTTGTCACCAAATATTCAGAATGAATTCATCTGTCTTCTAGGAAATAATGTTAAGGAAAAAAAATTGGCTGACATCAAGAAGGCCAAGTATTTTGGAATTCTTTTTGACAGTACACCTGATATTTCTCATACAGATGAGATGTCCGAAGTGATTAGATATGTTCATATTGAAGGTGATTCTGTTGAAGTAAGGGAATCTTTCTTGGGTTTCTTTCCTATTGCTGGAAAAACTGCAAATGAGCTCACAAACGATATCCTGAGTAATTTGGAGATTGATGGACTGGACATTAACTTTTGCCGCATTCAAGGATATGATAATGCTGCAACTATGGCTGGTATTCTTGGAGGTGTTCAGAAGAAAATCAAAGAAATAAATCCAAAGGTTTTGTTTGTGCCTTGTGTCACGTGCCTGAGCGCTCGGGAACTCTCATAGCGTGAGGCATATGTTCACGCCTACATTTCATACAAGCTATTAACTTATTAATTGTACTTATTATATTATTATTGTTCTTAGTTACTTAGGTTAATTGTATATTTATGTATGTTATTAATATGCATCATTGTCTTACTCTGTTAAGTCAACTCAAGAGTAGTATTAATTAATTATCTTCCCTTTTGTGACTTACTTATTTCAACTTGTTCATACTTATTCAAGTACATTTAGTTGAGTAGGTTTTTTGTGGGGATAATTATTGCCGTGTTCCCTATTTGTTCCTTTATTTGTTAATAACTTGGGGTAGGTTTCACTCCCCAAGTATAAAGGGTAGTGGGATCGCGACACTTGTGCCAATCATTCCTTGAACCTTTGTGGGGTACACTCTTTTGGAACCAATCCTTTATGTGGAACATTCTTTGGAACTTTAGATAAACTTCATTGCTTTTTTTAACTTTCAACTCACCGATGGGAAGTGCTGAAAGAAAATATGAACCTGACAGTCAAAAGACTTTCTCAGACTAGATGGAGTGCACATCATGATGCTGTAAAGCCTCTCAAGAAACAATTTGAGAAGCTGATCATAGCCCTGGAAACATTGACAGATCAAAGAGAAAATGTTGACACAAGAGGATCAGCTGAAGTTTTGCTTAAAGCTGTATGTGATTTTTATTTTTTGGGTTATCTTTCTTTTTGGTGTGATGTACTGGAAGAAGTGAATCTCACACAGAAGTATTTGCAAACGGAAGGAATAAGTCTTGAAAAGTGCACTGTAAAGCTCAATGGTTTGAAATTGTTTCTTCGAGGTCAGCAGAATGAAATTGTGGAGAGAGCGATTCAATATGCAACTACACAATGTGAAGAAATGGGTATCTCCATGGAAACAAGAGGGAGGATAAGACGTAAGAAAATGATGCCAGGAGAGATGGCTAGGGATGCTGGACTGACAATGCAAGAGGAAATGAGGAGATCAATGTTTGAATGCTTAGATCGATTTAGTCTAGAATTGGATGCTCGTTCAGAGGCCATGGATAACATCTTGTCAACATTTGCAGCTATTCAGCCAAGCTACTTGCTTTCTGCAAAAGAAAAACAACTTCAGGGGATTATTTCAAATTCAAGCATGACCAAGATTTTTAATTAAATTTCTGATGAGGATGTCATGGTAGAAATTATGCGACTTCGCAGACACACGGAGGCTGCCAAAATCACACCTGAAGAAGAAAATAAATGGACAGTCTTGCAGTTCCTGAAGTTTATTGTCAAATGGGACCTTTGTGAAACCTTGCCAAACTTGTCATTGTGCCTGAGATTCTTTTTCACAATAAGTGTGTCTGTTGCATCATGTGAAAGAAGTTTCTCTAAACTGAAACTCATCAAGAATTATCTTCGTTCTAGCATGACTCAGGCAAGATTGAACAGCCTAGCTATGATTTCTATCGAAAATGAATGTGCTAAGACAGTTAATTTTGATGGAATAATTGGTAAGTTTGCTGAAGCTAAGTCACGAACGATGAGGCTGTAAAACTTAGATATATATATATATATATATATATATATATATATATATATATATATATATATATATATATATATATATATATATATATATATATATATATATATATATATATATATATATATATATATATTTGCGTTAGGTGGAAGTATACCGCTTGTATCTCGTGGTTTCCTATGTTTTTAGAACAATCTAGTGCTATTGGTCAAGTTTCTGATAAAAGTGAGTTGAAGAAGGCTGCGCCCTTCTCATTGTGTAATACTTTATTTAATGTGTAACTTGTAGTAGTTATATACAGTATGGTTTCTGTACTTTGTATATTTGAATTACTTGTATGTGCTTTGTTGTATCGTGTAAATTTTGTTGAAATTAGGAAACACATTTGTTTATATATACTGTAGATTTCCTAAATATCAACCACATTTAGAAACCTGCTTTTTATTTACGAATATTACACTTAATGTAAGCTACATTATACTTGAGTAATAAATTTCTTTTTTCCATATTAATAGAAGGAAACTAAAACATTTATAATATTTACTATGTATAATCCAAAATTTCTAAAAAGTATAATTATTTTTTTTTATCATTCGTCTCAGTATAGGAAGAGTAAGGGGGCAAAGGAATGCCCTGCCCTGGGTGCCCAGTTCTAGGGACGATTGTGTATTTTACTTTTACTCAGTGGTGGGCACGGTTCCGATAATCTGCTAACCGCTAATTAGCGAAGCTAACTTTCTCGTAAGCAGATTAGCGTTTTCCCTAACTTTGGAAACCATTAGCGGACCAATTAGCTTTCGCTAAATTTAGTTCCGCTAACAAAATTTATACATGTTTGTTCCTGTCTGTTGTAAGCGTATGACGCCGCGACGCTGTCTCCAACAGCCAGTCAGGCACGCTTGGCTGACTGATGTTAGTACGTGTAAACGTGACAAGACATGACTTTTTTTTTACAGTAAATAAAGACTGTCAGTGTATGTTGAAAGAATCATAAAATGTAATTGTAAACTAATGTATAATTTAATTTCTCATTTATTTGTTAATTTAATTAGGATTTTTTGTGTCAATATATTTAGTTATGCTAAGTACTGCATAAGTTCATAACCAGGATGTCATCCAAGGTGTGCGCAAAACAAAATTTTCTAAAAACATACTTTTCATTAAAGTTTAGAGTTTTCTGTTTATTTACATGACTAAGACCAACAATAAGTTATATAATAATGCACTAGTATAATGTGTATGCGGTTGGTATTGCATATTTACATGAATAATGAATAAGGCCGATAGGTTGTATGAGAATGCAAATTAATTATTTGTGAAATTGTGTACAGTGTTCATCTTGATAAGTTGATCATCATCTGATCTTGGCATGATCCTATTTGCTACCTATGCTATACAGTACTATAGTTTTTGGATTCGTTTAATACTTTCTGTCTTTTCGTACGGTAAATAAAGATTATAAAGCTTATGTTGAAACTTGAATGTAAACTAATGTTTAATTTCATTTGTTCATTTAATTATTGGTGTACACCTTGATCATCATGTAGTCTTGGCATGCTATACCTTTTTGGAAAGCTCTATGTCTAAGCTACAAGACAACATATGAAAATTTCAGCTCTCTAGGTCTGTTTTTAAGGGTTTTAGAGGCCCCCCCCCAAAAAAAAAAGAAGCTAAATTCATATAATAAAAGTTAGCATTAGCTTCCGCTATTTTTTAGCTGTTTAGCGGTTTAGCGTTAGCGAAGTTAACTTTTTGGTTAGCATATTAGCTGTTAGCAAAGCTAACTTTTCGTTTAGTTGTGCCCACCACTGCTTTTACTGTATATTTATTCATCTCTGGAAGGAAGGGGGTGCCAGTGGATAGGTCCGCCCCGGGTGCCAAATACTCTAGGAACGCCCCTGCCTGTACTGTTACCAGTGCAATTATGAAGAAGGCCGAGTGTAATGGTCATGAGGACCCGGAGCCTGATAGGAACATGGCAGCCCCAGTGGCAGTGCCAGTGAGTCAAAAAATAATCTTAAAATCCCCAGGTAAGTGACGGTGTCTTAGAAACAGTTACCAGTTAGGATATAATCGCATTATTTAGTGACGAAACTGATATCAGTGCAGTGGTGGATGAGTTAAGTACCTCCCCTGTGGAGAAAATGAAAGTTTTAGATCAGCAAAGAAAGGACCCAGACTTAAGTAAGATTGCTGAGTTAGCTCTGACCGTACATGAATTATAAATTATCGGTCGTCTATGATGAGGATGATTAGCGCACTGTGCATCAGATTGTATTCCCGAAATCACATAGAAAACGGATACTAAGTATGGCTTAGGACTCGCCTATGACAGGACACCTGGGATTTAACAAAACATATCATAAGATAATAATTATTATTACTTTTTTGGGGGGCAGGACTAGAGAAAAGATGTGGTGGCTTACTGTAATTCTTGTCACCGGTGTCAGGTAGTGGGAAAACCCTATAAAAAAATCCCAGTCGCTCTAATGTATCCCATTCCTGCAATTTCTGAGCCATTCACCACGGGTACTGTAGACTATGTGGGCCCTCTGCCAAAAACAAAGGTCGGTAACATGATCTTCTAACCATCATGTGTTCCTCAACTAGATATCCTGAGGCTATTGCCTTAAGAAAAATCAGTGCCCCTGTGATAGTAAAACCTCTAACGTATTTTTTTTTTACTTCGGGTGGATTGCCAAAATATATTCAAAGTGACCAAAGCAGTAATTTCTTATCCGGAATTTTTGAACAAGTAATGAGGCATTTAGGAATTGAACATCAAATTTCAAGTGCATATCATCTGAATCACATAGTGCATTAGAATGATTTCACTAAACTTTCAAGAAGGTGATCAGAATTTACTGCCATGATACAGCCCTGAAAAAGACTGGGATGAGGGTGTTTCTTTGTTACTGTTCGCAGTTAGAGAATTTCTTCAGGAGTCACTAGGTTTTAACCGGTTTAAGCTTGTTTTCGGTCATGAGGGTCGAGGTCCACTTAAAATGTTAAAAGTGGCTCATTGGTGATGAAAATACAAAATTGGAGTACATTATTGACAATAAAACTATTACACCAAAAGGACAGGGTAGTACAGTATACTACTCCCACCCTCACCAGGGTTAAAAAAAAGTTATAAATGTTAATACAATAATTATTTTTACATCAATGAAATAGTTCATTTTGGCATGAACACTGTACTACATTAAAAGAACAGATAATGTAATCCTTTACAAAATTAAATGTCATATCTTTAGAGCAAAATTTTTATACATTGCAAGAATTATTTTAATCTTTCCATTATTAATCACCCACCAAACTTGTTTCTTTAAAGAAGTGATCTCACTGTTCCTGTATGGTTGGATTTTTTCACATCCTAATACATAATGTTGTAGTGTATGTGGTGCATCCCTAAGGTGACACAGTGACAAGGTTGACCCGCCCCACCACTTATCTGCAGTGATATTTGTATCTGTAAGATTGTACCATCATACGATATGTTTTCCCATGTTGAGGTGGGGGGGGCTTGTCTTTGGCAGCGCCGGTTGCCAGTCACCAGCTGACGCTGTTAGAATAAAGTCTACAAAGAACGTGGTCAATGATTCAAACCTCTCACATGGCGCACAGTGAGTAGGAGGATATGTCGGGGCCCGACACGCCATTACAGCCCTGACAAGAACGCTGACATGGCCCCTACACGTCCACGATTCTCGACGCCCTCAAGGGGACGCCAGGGCTTCTCTACACCAGCGGGGAACACCACGCGCGCCCAGCAGCAGGCCATGAGTGCATTGATGGCTCAGATGGCGTCTCTAGCTGCTGGCGGTGGTCATGCTTCTATGCCGGTCATGAAGCCCTCAGCAGCTGTCGCACCAGAGAAGTGTGAGGAAGAAATGCCAGCAGCTGCGTTTAGGACATGGAGGCGGTCCATGGAGTCATGGGTGCTGTTGAACGGGTGGTCACAACTGGTGGCCACACTCCACATTCGCCTGAACTGCGTCCCTGCACTCCAAAGGGTGATTGACTCGAGATACCCTAGCGGTCAGTGGGAGCAGCTCTCGCCCAAGGAAGCCCTGGACGCCATCAGTGGAGTGGTTCTTCAATCTTCAAACCAAGCTGTGAAATGAAACGAGTTTTTCAACAGCAAACAAGGTGAAGAGGAGCCCATGAAAAGGTATTTTCAACGCTGCTTCGCGGAGGCAGTGGAGTGTGAATTTAAATGTCCCACTTGTGATAACGATCTCTCTGAGTACATGCTATTACGTAAAGTTATGGTGGGCCTGAGTAACCCAGTGTTGAAAAGGGAAATTTTCCAGGGGTACTCTAGTTATAATAGTGTTGAAGTGCTTAGAAACAAATGCATGTTATTTGAGGCAGCAGTGAGAGATGCTGGTGTATCGTGTCGTATGTCTGGGCAGGCAGTGGTGGGAACAGCCGCGGAGGCAGCGGCGGTTGGTGATGATGTCACCGGTGAGTCTGAGGTAGCTGCCGCCCTACCTGGACACCCCAGTCGCTCGCACTGTGGTAACTGCGGCATGTCACATGCCTCTGGTAAAAGTAACTGCCCTGCAAGTGGGGCTACATGTCGCAATTGCTGTAAGGTTGGTCACTTCAAAAGGTGTTGCAGG